AATCTCCCGATCCGAGTATCGAAATTGCGCACAAAGAGACCCGAACTCTTTGGACGGAACGCTGGGGGTCGAACCGTACACAGTCGCTTGTCTCGGCAAAACGGACCGATTTGGGCAGTTTCGCCGATTTCGGCAAACGGTCGGAAAGGACCGGAAGCTTTGGGGCGGCTAAGCGTCAAAGGTGGGCCGGTCAAACGACGATTAAACCCGGATCGGCGGGGAGATCGGCGTCGGCCCTTTGCGGAGACGACCGAAAGACAATCGGTGAAAGCTCGGCCGTAACGCGGCCTTTGGCGTTCCACGGATACAGGCACAAATATTGGACTTCTGGCCGTCGGGTGTGAATTATTGAATTTCGTATTGTTTACACCGAAGCGCCAGGACGTTTAATTGACGCCGGCCCCGCGTCGGCGGAATCGGGTTTCGGTGTTTGTCGTGTCCCGCGGGAGAGCCGTCGAGTAATTCTCGCGGAGGTCTCGCTGCAAAAAGCGGCGTCAGAGGAATTCCCCGCGTTTTCCCGGCCGCTCCCGTTTCGTCGGGAATTCGCGAAGGGTAATCGCCGTGTTCTCTCTGTTTCCGCTGCTCGAGGTCCCGTGCCGCTTAAGGAAACCTCCTTTATGGAATCGTGGATGGAGGAGGAAAAAAAAATAAATAAAAAAGAGCGCGGTGTCGGCGCCGTCGACGGCTCTCGAGATTCCAGCCGCGACGCCGAGCCCGGCCCGGAATTTAGTCGTCGCGACTTCCTCGCGATCTCCGGGAAAACGGCAAAATTAAACGTCCTTTTCTTCCCTCGGGAAGGGCCTCCAGGGGAGGCGGAAAGGTCTCCGGAATCCAAGAAAAGTACCGTCTCAAATCGGGGCTCCCCTCCGCGGGCCGCGGCTCAAAGGCCTCGATTCCGTCGCGTTTCTTTCTCTTTTCCGTTCGCAATCTCATCGTCCTCGCAAACGAGGACGCGGTGCCCCACCCGGCGAGGGTCCTTTGAGAGCGCGTCCTCCTCCCCGGCTTTTGATCCGGGCCGCGGCTGCGTCGGCGAGGAAATCGCCGCGAAATTGAGCCAACGGGAAACCGTCGCGGAAGTGTCGCCGTTCCTGCCGGCAATGCGTATCCCGGAAGACCGGAGGACGGCCGACGTCTTTGAGGGCGATCCGGCGCTTTTCTTATTGGACGCCGGTGAAGTTTAATTTCACGGAGGCGAGTCCGAGGACTTTCCCCGTTTTCCGAAATCCGCGATGGGAATTGATGAGAATCGACAAGGGCGCGTTCCGGGGGCTTTCGGCACTTTCGATTACACCCGGGGGGTGTAACGACGCCCCTTTAACGATTATGCAAATCACGCGAGGGTGTCGAGATCGCCCTCGATATCGGCGATCACCCGAATTTTCTGCGAGTCCCAGCCGCGATTTCGCTCGGCGATTGAATCTGGTAGAGGAGGCAATATTGCGACGCGAGTGGCGAGACTAAAGCGAATTTCCCTCTTCGAGGTGCTCGCGGGGACGCGCCCTTTCGAGGAATGGATTCTTCCCTGGGGCGCGCAGGACGCGGCACATCAGGGAGGTCAAGATCTCGAGACCCCTCGAGCGAGGGCGTCCTAAGAGTTTCCTCTTCTTTTAGGGGAAACTCGCGAAGGGGCCAAGAAACGCAAATTGCAGGCAAATGTAATAGGAGACCCGCGACTCCAAGTCGGAATCCGGAGGTCCGCGGAGAGAGCGACGAGGAGAGGTCCTCCGCCGAAGGAAGGAGAGGGAGAAAGAGAGAGAGAAAGCGAGGGGGGGGGAGCTCCGGCAGACTTTGGAAGAGGATGAATATGAATTTCCGGGGGAGGGGGGTTTGCTTAAGCAAATTGCGAAATGCAGTCGGAGGAGAGCAGGCGAGACCCAAATTGCACGTCCGTTGGCTTCGCCTATCCCGTCGCGTTCCGTTGCCGGGCCGCACCGCGTCCGCAGAGAGGCAGCTTCCTGGACCAACGGGAAACCGTCTACTCGACGAAGCGAGAAAAACAAATTCCGCGGCGGCTCTCGGGGGCCGTCGACCGTCGCCCCGACGAAACGGCGTCGCGCCGCCCGTCCTCTCGCGTCTCCGTCATCTCCGTCGTTTCCGTCGTTTCCGCCGTTTCCCCGCTTCCGCCGCCGCCCCTCGCGCCGAGATTATATCCGTGGATTTCGCGGCGTCGAAATAAGCGAGGGTCCTCGAAAGACGCGGCGGTGGTGCCCCGGTTTTACGGGGCCCGGCCACACCGCGGTCCGGCGCTACCGCGGATCGGAAACCGCAGTCGAGATTGCTTTCCTCCGCAATGGGCCATCGAGAGGGTGGGATTCGGAGAGCCGGAATGGATCGGGCCTCGAGGGCCGGCCGAGCGGAACGGCCGCAACGGCGAAGGCGAGGGACGTGGGAATCGAGAACGTAAACGTTTCTCCCGCTCGCGCTCCGCCGCGCCGCGCGAGTTTCGATTCGCCGTAATTAAGTGGAATTAGTTCATTAGCGAAGTCGATCGATCGGAGGCCAAGAGAGCCCAGCGCCACCGGCGAATGCCGGCCGTTCCGCAAATCGTGCCATTATTCTCCAAGAGATTTATCGTCTCTTCGCCGCTGCGTTTCGACACCCCCTGACGCGATCGGCCGCGAACGAGGCGCGTCCCTTCCGCTCCGAAATTTCACCCCTCCCTCTTCGCTCTCGGTCCCCGGGTACCTCTTTATCGGAAAACAAGATGTTCTCCTCCGGAAATCGAATCGAGTAACAAGAATTCGACTTATCGCGAATAAAACACTCGGTACGCGAAAACGAAAGGGGCAGTTAATACCCAGAGAAAAAAAAAAAAATGCCATGGAACCAAAGAAATATTTCATTAATTTAAAGAATAATTATTTGACTCTAATAAACGGGAATAAATTGCAACTATCCTTCGGAATTACGACGAATTATTCTCTGATTTAACCAAACACTTCATAGGCACCATTCGAAGAAATATCTTTCCTTGGCTTGATAATTTTTTTTTTCTCGGTGCAGGCACGTCGCGAAATGAAATGAGATATTAATTCTACGAGAACGTCCTGTTTTTCACATTTTCCTAGAAATCGAGCCAGTCGAGCCGCGATTATTCCTACTTATCACGCGAGCCCTGTACCGGCGGCTTATCGACGACCAGCACCGGGAGAACTTTTCGCGGAAAGCCAAAGATCGTTTCTCAATGCCGCGCCATTACTCCCCGCGACGCAAAGTTCGCGCCGCCGCCGGGAACAAAGTTTTCCGAAGAATAACTCTCATGTAAATCGAACCCGGCAACTTCGTCCACACGGCCCGCGCGATCTTTTCCTCGGCGGGGAAGGTCGATAATTCCGGAAGAAATTATCGCGTCATTTTCATCGCGTTATGTCGGAGCGATTTAGGCGGACGCGTTTTCCTCGTCAGGGCCGATATTTCCGTCGTTTGCGCATCTTCGACGAGGAGGAGATAAAAAATAAACCTCGAGGATTCCGGTAAACGCGAGGTACTCGGTATTTACAGGGGACACCGTTTTCCGCGTAACCTTTTATTTCCCGCCTTCGAGCCGGAGAGCTCGGCTTCGAAAAAGTTAAAAAGGACGCACGTCGGATCAAAGGCCATCGGGGAGCGCAGCGAGATTTACGTCGGCAAGGATTTCCTGGATCCATTAAAAAAAGGGAGGGGGAGATCTCGACACGGTCCTCGCGTTTGCGAGTTCCGCGACTTTTTCCGCCCGGCACCGGCGAGCACTCGAGTGCCTGCGTTTAATATCGCGTAAAGGGCTAATGTTTCGTTTATACGGTGCATATTTTTAGGAGACGAGGTAATTACTCCGAATAGACCGAAGCCGGCGTGCTGGGTATAAAAATGAAATACATTCTCCCGTTTAACCCGTCGTCGTCCTAATTCGCGATGGCGTTTCGCGCGACGTTACGGGAAAAAAAAAAAAAAAAAAAAAACTTGTCGCAAACATCCGCGTACAGAAAAATTACGTCAACGACGTCGCGGAACTCGGGATACTTCCTTATATTATATCATTTGTCCTCGTACTCGCGACGCGTTCTCACTTGGAATTGCATCTGCATTTTGTCCTCGATCCAGTTATAGCGTCGGAACGACGTGTCGGTTAATGGATACCCAACGATGATTAAAACGAGCTTTATACGTTGCTCCGACTGTACCTTTTCCCCTCGTCTTCCGGGCCGGCGACGAGATTTTAATTCCATTTTCGCAGCGGGAGGTCGACCGATCCGTCCTAAGTGCAAAGCAGCAATTTGGCATGACCTGCCTCCGGGATATTTCGGTGCTTCCACGCCGACCCCCTTACGTCCTCCGGACAACGCTCCCGCCGATAACGCGGTTACCCCCGATATTACCCTTAATACTCCGGTGTATTCCAAACCGCCCCAGCGATTTTAGGCGACACGAAACATCAAAATATTTCTGAAACTTCCTTCCAAATTGGGTGCCCCGAGTAATCCGAGACCTTATCATATGATTACGAAGGTCCTAACAAAGGTCCTGAGACTCACAAAAATTTCAATTGTTTTTTTAAATCTCGTCCGAAATAATTACATTTTTTTTTCCGAAAAATGAAATTTCGCGAGTTTTGAGACCCTCATTAGGACCTCCACAATCCCACGGTACTTTTATCTCGTTTGGCCTTTTACGAGTTAGACCGCATCCGTCCCAAGACCTTGAAGCTCGGTTCAGCGATCGGAAGATCGTCTCCTGGCGAACGGTTCGCAATTTCTCCGGAAAGCGCGTTCGATCTTGGAAAGTCGAACAGGTGGAAAGGAAGGGTCACGGGGGGTGGGTTGAAATAATTTAGCGGCTCGGTCGGTACGCGCGTCCACCGCGCGTAACGAAGCGTCCGCGTAATTAAAACGAATTACAGGGAGCGAGGCGGGACGTTTAATTGAGCCGCTTCAGGAAACCGCTGTCTCCGCGCTTCTCGTAACGTCGGGACATTATTTCGTTTGGCGACCGTCGCGGATTTAATTGGACGGAGAGGGACTCACCTGGAAGTCGAACTTGTCGAACTCCTCCTGGGCGTCTATGTCGGCGGGCCGGGGCTCGATGAGAGGACACGCGGCCGGCGCGGCTCGACCGTCCGGGGCCTCCGCCGGCCGCGGCGCGGGCGAGCTAGCCGTCCGCTCGTCCCTCGAGGCCTCGCTCTGCCCCGCCGCCGAGGACGCGCCCGAGGGCGGCGCGTGCGTCTGGCTGACGTAGTAGAGGCACAGGAGCAGCGACACCACCACCACGCACAACGCGAAGGCGCGGCCCGAGCCGCGCCGAAGGAGCGCCTTGTACATGCCGACTCTCGCCGCCCCGCGGTCAGGTCATGTCGCTCAGGGCAGAGGGGACGAGTCCTGAGTCCGCATGGGCGCTCCCGAACGACCTGGAACGGAAGGGGGAATATTTGTTATCGGGCAAGGTCGAAACGAGTTCCCGGCAAGGGGCTGTTCGCCCCGAAACCGATTGCCTTTGATTTCATATCATGGACAGCGATGTGACTCGGTAACGCTCCCTCCTAAACGGCGGACTTACTCGTCTCTATTCGTCGACTCCCTTCCTCGTGTTCGTCGATCTCGTCGGGAACAAATGAACGCCCTGCCGCGGACGGCCTCTCATTTTCGTCCAGGACGGAGGTGCGGAGGACGCGCTCACGCCTCGGGGTTGCCGCGGGTCCTCGTCGAGAGTCCTGCTGCGAGGTCACGCCGTGGAGCCATGAACTGCGAAAGAAAGGTTAAGGGTGGAGGTTAACGTTTATTTAAGCTCCACGTGTGGGTTCTTTGGATTAATCTAATTACGCAGTTTTTCGGACACGAGGCGACGACGCGACTTCGGTGGTCCGGCCGGCTTGGGTAGCGGATGCACCTTGCCTCGCGTCCGCCGAGCGACTGAGGCCGGACCGCCGGCCCGACTACCGATCGAGGGGGGAGGACAGGGGGTCACCTCCGACCGGACCCGACGAGAGGCGGAAGGGACCGAGTTCCGTTCGCAATTATTCCGCGATATCCTTGGTTAAGTGAAATAACCCCCGACGAGACGGATCCTCCGGCACTGTCGCCGTTTAAAGGTTTCGCGGACAAAAACGAGCGACGTGCAGGGGATACGAGAGAACGCAAAAAGAGGAAAGGCAGGGTTTAAGCGCGATTTACAGGCGACGTTCGCGGTACGTTCCCAGCCTTTACGGTAAATATACGCCCCGAAGCGTGCGGAGCATGGGAGCCGGAGGAGTCGCGAATTTCGACGGAATCGAGTAAAATGAAACCGACTCGGGTGGAGGAACTCGGTCGAGGTGCGACGTTCGCAAGGGGGTCATCCACGCGCCAATTCGGCCGATTTTGTTCGGAGCGCAAGGGGAGGGACAATGAATTTATAGACCGCGAATACCCCCGGATCGAACCATGCTAAAACCGAGGTAAAACCGAGCCGAAGCCCGCGAGAAGACCGACGACGCGGGAGAGAGAAACGGGAGGACGGGCGCCCGGCGGAGTGAATTCTCGAGAGGATTTCGAAAGATCACGGGAGCTCGTTAGGGCGAATATTCAATGGGAGAGGCGCGGAATAAGAGAGGAGAGAAAAATGTAGTTTTAACGCAACCCAGAAACGGCGTTCGCGAACGCTGGTTGGGACCTGGAACCCAATTCTAGAGTCCATTCGGATCTCTTTCGCACACTGAGAACAAAATTTCATCGAACCAAAGAAATATTTCTCTGAACAGTCCCAATAATTATTTCATTCAAATAAATTCGAATAAATCCGATGCAATATTTCTCCGGAATTACCACAATTTATTTGTGACAAATAATGCATCTTTTTTTTTCTCCCTGCGTACGAATAGATCGGCGTGAAGAAATTTGCATTGCTGCGAAGTCGCGATTTTTTATTCTTTTTTTAGCGATGGCGCGGTTCAACATTTTCGTCATGGCCGGCTACCGGGCGAAATCACCTTGTGAGTATTAAACGAGATAACGGGCGAGGTCGAGTCTTTGGACGAAGGTAACAGGAAAAAAAGGCCCTCGAAAGACCTCGAGCGTCGAATCGAAAGAGACGAGACGGAGGGACGCCGGACGCAATCGGAGCGATTCTTATGCAAATCCACGGACGCCTTTTGAGAGCGCGATTCATAAGCCGCGTCGGCCGCGAGACGCTCGCGGAACGTGCATTCTTTCGGGGCTGAATGTCCGCCCCGGGGAAAATATTAAAGCGGTTCGAGCGAGCACGTCGCGAGCTAGCGCTAAGACACGTTTGCAATTTATGCCACGTCCCTACATACTTTTACGACGTAATAAGCGTGAAAAGTAAGGCGCTCCGTAAACGAATGCGCGATATCGCGACTCGTCGCCGGGCTAAAAAAATCGCCCAAGATTTTCGCCTCGTTCGTCCCCGCGCAAATTATAATCCGGATAAACGGTACGATTCCAACAAAGGCGAGTAAATCCGTGACGCTACTCGAGTATTCCGCGATCTCCGGTAGTCGTTGAAAATTAATCTACCGAGAGATAGGAAAACGGGACCGTAAACTCGCGAAAAGAAGGGCCGCGCCGGCGAGTAGCGAAGGGGATGAAAACGTTCCCTCCTATCAAGATTCCGCGAAAGTTTGCGACGTTAAGTGGGAACGTCTGGAGACGGGGACGCCTCGTGAGCGGGACAAGAGGGAGAGCGAACGAAACAAACCGGAAGCCGTGCCGACGACGTCACGGCAACTCCAGAAATCGAGTCGCGGAAAAGTTTGCGAGAAGACAGACGGAGGAGAAGGAGGGACGGTGACTCTTTCCTCGGAGGGTAAATGTCGTTTCGAAACGGTCCGGCGTCGTTTAGGGAGAGGACGTAAACGAAAAAGGGGTAACGAAAACTAGGGGTAAGGCGAATCGGTCATTCCTCGTCTTCGCTCGTCCTTCGGCGAGGACCCTGGAGGGTGTCGCGACGTCGAGGGTCCTCTCCCGTTATGATTTCGCAAAAGTTCCCGACGTGGAGTGGGACGCCCGTCGGTGGGACGACGCCGAGGGGGCGCGTCGGGACAAAGGGAGGAGAAACGGAACGGACCGGATGTCGACGCGAGACGACGTTACGGGAACTCGCGAAATCGAGTCGCGGAGAAGTTCCGCCACTCCTTGGCAAAAGGACGGCGAGGTAAGTGGCGGGGCGATCGGTCTCGACCTCGCGACGTAAACGCGATATTCGAGAGGTCGCTCGAACGCGACTTGCGACGCGTCTCGGGAGGACGTCGACGTCGACGTCGACGAACTTCGTCTCCCCCGTACGCGCCGCGTCTACGCCGGTATCTACGTATTTCCTCTCGACCCCTCTCTCCTCCCTTCCTCTTTTCGCCTCTACCCTTTCTCACCGAATCGATTACGCCGCGCTCGATTAAAGTTTCATCAAGGTCCGAATCGCGCTCGGAGGAATCGATCGGTCCCAATCGTCGGTGCATCCAGACGTCCGGAAACGAAGATGCTCCATTACGGACTCGAGCGACGTCGATAACCGTAATCGACCGCCGCTCCGTAAATTCGAGACAACGCGGGAGCGCGCCTTCTCGTCCTTGCGATTTCCTCGAGGTGTCAAAATGTAGCTGCCTTAAAAAAATCTTTCCCTCCCCCCTTGGAATTTGACAAAAAACGATACTTCTCTGAAATTAAAAAATAAACGAAGAGCACCGCCTATAAAATACCCATTCGAGTAATTCCTATACCCCGAGAACAAATAGCTGTACGCGTTACCAATACGGTTCCAAGATAGGCACCAGTTTCTACAAGTGCTACGATATACAACTGTAGACGGAATAACTTTACAAATTGTATTCTCTCTTTCCGTAGTTGTGTATCATATCCTTCGTAGGGATTGGCGCCTTTTTCGTGACTACATCTTTCTCAGGGTAACCTACAAACGGAGGAAGGCGAACAAATTTTCTGCGAAAGGGCTCCCGCCTTTTCCGAACCGTTTCTCGTCTTGGACCTACCTCAGGGACCAGGAGATTTTCGGGATGTCGGTCGGCGACCCGATCTTTGTCGCGAAGGATATCCAGGGGATTCGCTCGTGGAGGTCGAATGTCTCGTTGCGAAAACGGCGGCTTCGCTCCCTCGAGAAGGCAGACTCGCGAGTACAACAAACAAGGCGCAGTCCGTTCAGAGTGCACTCCTTGGGAGCGCAGCATCCGGCTCTCGAGGAGGACCACGCCGTACTATTGGCGACTAGAGCGGAGTAGTTTGGACACGCCGACGGGCTGGCTATCCGCTTTTCTCTCCGCGGGATCGCGCATGTGCCGATAATCCCACAGAAGTAGGTCCGTGCATGTACAAGTCGCGCCTCGTGTGCGTCCACGAAGGGGGAGGCGCGAGCGATCGGCCACCCCGAAGGGAACGGTCGCCACTTTTCGAATCGACGACGATTCGACGATCAGACGACTCGACGTTGAAAAGCGACTCTAACGCCCTCAATTCACGCTTTACGGTGATATGATTATACATTTCTAAAAAGAACTGTAAAAGAAATTGAAATTTTATGGGTGTCAGGACCTTCCATATCGACGTCGTACAGTTTGAAACGATTCGAAACACTCGGGTCGGAGAAAAGTTTAACAAACGAGATCTCTGCGACGCCACTTCCGTATCAGTGGACTCTACCTTAAGTGGACTCGGGCGTGTCGTCCGGAATATCCGAATACAGGGCCAAGTCGAGCGAGCTCCATCGAGACGGCATGGAAAGGGACGGGGAGAGAGAGGGAGGGAGGGATGAAGGCGAGTAAACGAAGGACACGGAATCGACTCCCGTCGCATCACCCTCCATTATTGATAACTATTCGAGGAGGAAAGGTGGTAGAAACTCGAATGGAAGAGGATACGAGGAAGTCGAGCGGAAGAAGGCACGCCGCTCCGGCTGCGATTGGCGAAATCTGTCGGAAAGGATTTTCAGGGCGTCCCACTTGTAATCGTTAAGACCGGATAAGGACCCCGTTAGCGAAGGACCTAGAAATTCTCCCCTTATCGGAGCCACTCGAAATCTCCTCGAATCGGCCTCGCCGATCGTCCTCTGCATCTTGGCGAGAGAATCCTCTCGAACTGCTTCCTTTTTTTTATACAAACGCATTCGGGAAACGTAACCGGGATATATGTGCTTCCGCATGCCGCACGAAGTGGCACGTCCTCTTTACGACGTGGTAGGCCGCACGAGCGCACCTGAATCGGCAAAATAAACCTGAATAAGTTCGCAGGACGTTCGAAAGTTCAGCCAACTCGCGGAAGGGACGTTATCGTTGGTTCTCGAGACGCCTCGATTTGTTTTTTATTCCGGGCACCGGAGAAGGATGCCGAAAACGTTTGACCGTCCCTCGAGGATTCGATTCGGTCGAAGGAGTATGCGAAGTGGGCAAAGTTTCGCAAATCCGAGAAACTTCGGCCCTCGCTCTATACGTATGCAGACGTACGTAAGGTCAGACTCTCGCGACAGGAAGTTCCTCGTCGAACCTTAAGTCCTCCTTTCCTCGACGTTACGACCTGTCGGGCGTTAATTGGTCGTGCCGCCAACTCGGAGCAATTCGGTACGCATCGCAATTTCCAGGGCCCCCACAAAACTTGGTTAACTCGGTATTGCCCCGTCGACCCGAGGAACCGATTCGTCGGTTCTCGCGCGAACGAGTTCCGCTCCGGGAACTTCCTCGGCCGCGATCGGAAGTTGCCGTAATCCGTCGCGCCTGCACCGGGAAACTTGGCGCGGTATACCGATCGATGATTCCGACTTTTTCCCCGTTGTCCCCGAAATCCGTCGTAAACAGACAACGAGATAATTAGGTATGCGGCAGACTCATGGCTCATCCTCGAGGGGCAATTTTTCAGAACGATCGGGTAAACTTAATGATTAATCGCGGGCCATCAAAGGCGCTCATCACTTTCGCGATTGGCAGAGCCTCCCGGGGACAACGATTTTTTTTTTTAATTCGTTTAGAGCCTTTTTCAAAATTTCATATAAAAAAGTCAGGACCTTCCTTACAGCCTCCATATTCCCGTTGTAAAGTTTGAAACGAGTCCATGCCCGTAGTGTGAAGAAAATCCTCGCGAACGATCGATCACTAGGATGCCACTTTAACGTCTAGTTTTAATGACAGAATCGACCGGTGCGATTCTTTGGAATATTCCGATCGGCCCGATCGGAAACACTCGAGCGCTCCGCTGGGGGTTAATTCGCAACGGGAAACGCGGGGAAAACGTGGATGCGGTAATGGAGGAATTTATTCGAACGATTGCGAGCAACGCCGTGTCCGACGTCGGGTTCCCATTTGGCGGGCGAGGAGGGTAAGAGCGAAGTCGTCCGAGGCATCGGGACGGGGCGATTTGCATTATTCGATTCCAAGTGAAACTCAGCTACGGGGGAATTTACTAATCGGAGCCCGAGGGAGTCCTCCGCTACCACGTCGCGGTTTCCGTTGTTCAACCGCTCCGCGGAATCCCCTGCGTGGGTCCTTTGGATAAACGATAGAATTCGATATATGTAAAAAAAATAACTCCACTCCTTCCTGCTCGAGCATGATTTTGATTTTTGCCAAACCTGGAGAAATTGGACGTAAAGGATCTTTGCCAGTCTCGTGGCCTTCGGTAATCTCGAGTTTGCGGGAAGTTCCTATTGTCGTTCGCGATCACCCTTTTCCCTTCAGCGATTCGCGATTCGCATCGCGGCGGAAGGAGCGCCGGTCAGTGCAGTCGGCGTTTCT